TGTTTGATCATTATGGGCTGAGAGGTTAAGTGTAAGACCATTAAGGGTAATACCTGATGGCCTAATCTTGCATCTGCCCATAGTCCTTGGGTTTTTATAAGGTGGCTTGACCCAATGACCATTTAGTGTAAATGTTGGGCCCATTAAGAGCCCATGGTGATGGGCTCAAGGGTTCCCTGTCACCTATAGTGAATTCAGCCAAGCCTTGTAACAGAGGTTGGGCTGAACCCATGTGGCTGATGTGTAGATCAATGTTTGGGTCCCATGCCATACAAGGATACCCAACTGGGCAACAGTTTGGAGGATAAGTGAGCACATGGACTTAATGGGCCTAAAGCCCAAATCGAACTGGTTTAATATGATTAATTAAAGAAAGGCAGTTCTGGGATTTAGATCAACAGATAGGATAAGGGATTATCCTTCTATTTGGATTAGGAAACTCCTAATAAGATTATGAGGGTTGATCTTTATCTACAGATAAGATAAGGGATTATCCTTATCTCTTAAAGAGAGTCCAGATCCAAATACAAGATTTKGATTWGGAAACTCYTAATRRKRTTAGKAGAASYTCTCTTTAAGGCTATAAATAGAGGAGGAGGGCGAACCCTAGTTCATGTTCAGTTTTACTGATACAAGAGAGAAGACAGCTACAGTTGGACTGACGCCATCTTTTGCTCTTGCCTCCTCCTGTTGCTGCTGCCATTGCCAGTTCGATCTCCACCTGTAGGAGCGATCAATAAAGGTTCTTGATATCAGTTTTCGGTGAAAAACTTATCTGAAGTCGTGCTCACACATCCTCCATCGAATTCTTGCTGAAGAGTTTGGTTCTTGCTGAAGAACCACCTGTTGATTCTGCTCCACCCTACGATGTGTCATCTTTAGTGGGAACAATCTTTGGCGTTTTCCTTGGGCGTGAACACCTTCGTTGGGAGTTACTGCTACTCCGTATCAGGTATATCCCTCTCGTACCTTTTGGTTTCAGATCTGGTTTGGTTTAGGGTTCAAGATTGATCCTTGAAAATGTAGTTTCTAAAATAGGGAATGTGATTCCCACATGGGAGAGAGAAATTTTTGAAATTTCGCCCAACCTACCTACAGGGTTCGACTATCCATATGATGGATCTCTCATCCCTTTACTTTTCTGGTGCCTAGTTTGTGGAGTGTGATAGCTAAGTATCGACATGTTCAGAATTATCAACTTCAGTGAGAATTATGAAGCAAGCTCTCAAAGAAATGAAATTCAATGGGAAACGACTTAGAAAGACTGGGAGTAGGAAAAGTTTTTTGGTGATCAATTTAGGGACTTCTTTGTGGACGGATATCATGTCCACTTGAGTTTTTGCTTAAGGATTGGGCTTCTAGTGGACATTTTGTATATCATTGTACACCCGTTCATGTACACATTTTGCTAAAAAAACATGATTAAATTTGTGTGGGGGTCCAGAGATTATTTTTAAGTTCAGGTCACTTGTGGAGAGTTGACAGCTTTCAGGGTCTTCAGTTATATTTTCTGTTTTTGGTTGTTATATTTTTCCTTAATACCTCACTATATATGACTAACACTGTCTAAGTATTAGACAAGAATGAAGATCTCATTTTTTTCCTATATGGCTCGGTTTGGAAGGAGTACAAATACAAATATGTACAGTGCGAAAACATATAAAATACATGGTTTTGCACTCCACAAATTTGTGTTTGTACTCTTTCCAAACTGAGCCATATGCACGAAACAAAGAAATGCAAATAGATCGGGGATGACATGATATCCAAGCCGTTAAAATGTAGATAGGCCAGAGGTAAATCATGTCAGATAGTTTTCCTCTGAGTTCTCGAATCATCTACTCATACGCACAATAAGATAAAAGAAGGAATTGATTAATGAATATGAATACCTGCGAGTCAAAGAAGATTTTACGCTGCTAAGTAAACATCGGTCGATCAGTCCACGCCCCAGAGACGTGCCCATTTTCACAAACATATGCTCGAACAACTGGCTCACCGTCGTCATGGTACCCAAAAACCCGCCTCAAACAGAACGCTGAATGCAGATCCCAAGTCTCCCTACAAGAGCAAAACGCGCAATCTAATGGAATCTTATTCCGATTCCCGTCGTTTATCGTCCTCCAAACCCTAGACCGCCTGAAATTCTTGAAGACTCCTCTGAAAAGCATGTAATTACGTTTCTCTTCAGTGTGAACGCAACCGGGCCAATCACAAATGTAGAGGGAATCCCCTCTAAACCGACTCGCTAACAGCTTGTTTCCTTGCTCCCGACTCAAATTCCAAACCCCAGCCGCTAAATGAGATCCGACTGGTCTGCATTTCTTCTTCCTCTTCTTGCTAATGGAGAGGTCACGACCAACCTTGACGACAACACTCTCGGCCACTTCCGCTGAGCCAGATCCATCCTGTGATTCAGATGCAGCATAGATGGTATCACAATAGAGATCATCGAAGAGTGACCAAGAGTCATCAGAATGGGCGGTAGCGCTTACTGAAGCATCATCTGGGCAGCTCAAAGGAGGAGCTAGAGATGGATCGAGGGTGGGAACTGAAACTGAACCATTTTCCTGATAATTCTCGTCGGGGCCGAGCTCACGCTCGAGGCCGAAGTCCGAATTCTCCAAAAGGACACCAGCATGCAGAAGCCCCGGGCAGCAAACCGAGAGCTTATAGAGAGCTGTCCACCAGCCTGGGAGATCACAGGGGACGGGCGAGGCAGATAGAAGGTCTGTGACCACTGAAGGGATGGTTTGAGAGCATTTGTTCTTCCAACAGACGTTGCGAACCAGAGCCGAGAATTTAGTGCAGACGCAGGCAAGTCTTGCCCAGTTCCTGGGGTCGTCTTCGAGCCTCAACAATATGTTGAGGACGATATCGTCGGAGAGATTGAAGAAGGCGGTTTCAGTCATGGAGAGAGTGGAAGAGTTCTGGTCTGGTTTTCTCTCGTGGAATCTTCTCATCTTTTTCTCCTTGTTTCCGTGACGGCCTTTTCCTCTATGCTTTGTCTTCTTTCGCGGAGTTTGGATCTGCCGGCAATGTGTTGTGATCCGGAGATCCGGATTGGGGAATCCTGATCCTCTGATATCAATCCCTCTTATTACTTTCTCATGCAACCGTGAGGATGAAGACACGTAGGCCCTCCTTGAATTAGTGGAGAGGATCAAATTCAAATGACCATGATGAAACATGTCAGAGAGACCGCATGTTTTCATCGAACAACGACATCATGTACAGGTCTCAGTTTGGGAACGGACAACGGGACAAGGACAATAGTGTTAGTGTGTCAAGAGTTACGAGTTAGGAATAAGGAGACCGGATCTGCTCCTCACACAGGGCGCTTCACACCGATCTCACGTGCACATCTTACATGCATTGAGAACATCTCTCAATTATTTCACGGGAGATATTCCCAATGCACGGTGGATGTGCTGTGAGGCGTCCAAGTGTGAGGAGCAGATCCCGTCCCAGGAATAAGATATGGGCATGGAGCCATGGACAATCCACCTTTTTGGTCGTCGGGTGTTTACCGTACCCACTTCTAACAGCAACCTCCAACCGGTAGTTCGGAACTTCGAATCCGAATTCAAACTCCCATTTAGTTAAAGTGCTTTCGGATCTCAAATAAATTTGCCATTTTAAATCTGGATCTGGGTTTATCCAATTAAAATCCGAGTCACACAACATTATGCTTTTAGTTAGGTTGTTCATAACAAGATTCAAACCGTCCAACCTGGCTGATTCAACCTGAGTCGGCCAGTTTTTCTTTAGCATTGGTCGGTTTTGCGTTACAAAAAAATATAAACTGAACTGATCCGAACCAACTTAGATATATATTATATATATAATATATTTCAGATATTATATATATATATATATATATATATATATATTTCTGTTTTAATATATATTTCAGCTTTATTGAGGAAATATACATATTACATATAAAATTTCAACTTTAATCCATCAAATCATTTTTAATTTCCAAGCATCTAGCCTTCGCTTCTTAGACTTGAATCCTTTACCGTTCACTCCGAGAGAATCATTCACAAAACCGGCTCAAACCGACCAGATCGATTTTACTTAATACAGGGTCGGTTTCAGTTTCATCTTGGTAAACCGACTAGGTCGGGTCACTTGGAAAAACGCTAATAAACCGACCCAACCCGACCCATGAACAGCCTACTTTTAGTGGCAACGTATTACAAAATCTCAACCTCTCATTTCAGTTAAGGAGGTGAGGTCGGGTCATAAGGGGTAGTGTGGTATGCATATCAATATAAGGGAGTTGTGTGGTCACAATTTTTTTTATGAAAATGTACAATTAATTATTGTAGTAAAGGTTAAAGTGCTTTTCATGTATTTGGCCCAAGTTTTAATGTGAAATTATTTTTAACTCATCTATACTATTATAAAATAAATCCACAAATGCTTGTCTTGTTAAATTATAATGATATAATGTTAAACCTTTAGGTTGCGTTTGATTGTGGTATAAATAAATTTTATTAATAGTAAAATTATGATATTATAAATGATTTGGACGAAAATTTTGATTAATGATAATGAGCTTTTAGTAAGTGAGATTATGGATAGAGAAAGAAATGTTTAAAGGGAGAGCAAAATAAGGAGCTTGGTCTCTGCAAATTTGTGGGAGAAAATTAGAACCATTTCCATTCCTACGGACTCAAGAGATGATGAATTAATCTGGAGATGGAAAATTCAGTATCAAATCGGCCTACAAAATAAAATGTAGTTTGATTAATAATGGAAATAATGATCTAAATTGGAATGCTTTGATTTAGAATCTAAACTGTATCCCAAAACTGAAACATTCATGTACCTTTTTCTCAAAAGGTTTCAATAATACCAGTACCACCCCTCAAATGACCATGGAGAAAGCATTTAAATGCCCATAAGGAATATAAAAGCTTTCGAAAAGAATCTCATCCCGTGTGTTTAAATAAAGGAATATAAAGGCTCCAAAAAACTTAATACCATCAAAATTAATTTTGACGCCTCTCGTTCAAATAATGGGAGATCCTCCATTGCAGCTATTGCAAGGAATCACAATGGTGAGATCGTGTGTTTCGAATTATATACTTAAGGGGATACTACCATCAATATGGTAGAGGCGTGGGAGGCTCATAACTTGGCAGTGAGCTTCTCCGACAGCCCCATCATCATTGAGGGCGATTCAAAGTTAGTTACCTCTTCCCACAAATTCCTCTCCAATCAATCGTGGCAACTGAGAAACATTGTTCGGGAATGCTCTACATACATTGAAGATGCGGCGGAACGAGGACTTTCTTTATAAGCATGTTTATAGAGAGGCTAAGGATTTGATAGCAAATGCGGATTTATAATAGGCTCATGGGTGGGTGGACTTTACCCTTAACAATATTCTTCATAATTTAGTTTGCATTTGCTCTAGTGACTTTAGGGGGAGTGCTACCCCACGCATAGCAAGGTTTTATCAAAAAGAAAATTGATATAATTTTGTTTTAAATTTTACTTTCTTTTGTTTGATTACAATACAAATGAACAAAGTAGGACAAAATTAAAGTGTCGACTAAAGATGCGTTATAGCAACCCACAGAACAGGTTTGGAAAAAAAAAAAAAAAACTAAGATGATGGTTGGCATCAATGCCGATTTCCCAACAATCAGCGCCACATCAGAGATACATGAAATAAAGAAATAGTGGTGATTTTCAATCTGTTTGGTTGGTTGATTTTTGCAATTTTTGGAAAATCAACAATAAAACAATTCTTAAAATAAGCCCATCAGTGATTCCAATTTTTGGAAGATGACATGGCATCCGACATGTCTCCAAGAAAAGGATAATTCAAAAGAAAAAAATCACCCTTGAAAATCAATACCAAACAAACTGCAAATTTTAGTAATTTTTCAAAGATGACCACTTCCAAAAACCAGTAATAATCGGCAAGAAAGAATCATCTACAATGCCAAACATCACCTAGAAAAGTCCGATACACCACATCCGGCGTATCAGACCCTATTGACATTTGAAAACTTGGTCGTATCCACTATCCAGGTCAAGTTGTAAAAACGGCCTAAGCTATACATCCCACTTTACCGGAACAAATTTGGAAACGATGGAGAACATAGCTGCCGTTTGCCAACCTGAGAGCCCAACCTATATACGAATCCGATTGAGACTTGGGAGGTCCTTCCGAAGAAGTTGGCTGGGAATAGCCGAATAGGAAGAGAGAGAGAAGGATTCCTAAGCGTGGTCACAGATTAGCTGGTTTATGTCAAAAATACGAAATTAGGTGCACAATACACTATACATTTGTAGCTTATTTTCCTACCAATAACTAGTAACCTCCAATCAAGATGAAAAATTAGACAGAAACAAAGCAAGAGTTCTAAGGTCCAAACCAACAAAATTTCAAGTCACTGTTTTAATAGGACATGCATTTTTATCTTTTTAGTATCTTAGAAGCATAATAAATCACTGTTTAATTCCAACCTCTAAATTTGTCCGAGTACAACTCTTCCATTGTTTAGTTTATCAAGAATGTTTTATCCAGCATAGTAGCAAATACCAACCACACTAGAAGACCTCGAGTTGTCAGATCATCTGCAGCCAGATCTTACCTGTAAATAATAGATAGATGCTATCAGAACCCATAAACAATTAGGCAATCAAGAAAAGGGAAAGGAAACATCATTAACTAACAGAGAAATGACTATGCAGATGGAGATCAAGACCGAGATAAGCTGCGGCTACGACTCTTGCTTGGGCTCCGGCTATGACTAAGGCTCTTCTGCTTCTTTGGGCTTTTGCTCACACGTTTGCTACGAGACTGCACATTGCAGGTTGAGTAAAGAAATACATGAAGTAACCAATTGAAAGAGTTTTCAAGTCACAAATTTTAACTTACAGAGGGTAATGGAGATTTCGATCTTGATGGAGATCTGCAAAAGTTCCAGAAATAACCCAATTCAATATCCACAACGTTCTTTTAACACCTTTGATCCAAAAGCCAGGACGCCTCTTCCACGTCAGAGCAACCATATTCAAAAGGAAAAAGAAGAAAAAAAAACCCATAAAACTTTAGCATGGTTCAACAAAGAGAGCACAAGTCATCAAGACTCCCTTCCCACCAAAGAGGAACCCGGCAAGTCACTGATAATCATTGACCCAATGAAGAAACATGTCGAAATAGAAAGCACAATGATATATTGGCAATCTGGATAATGGCACAATAACATAGTTAAGATATAGAGGTTAGGATAGGAACATCATTCCCATTTGTACCACCAAAATCCAAAGAGGACTCTGAGCGCAACTCCTACAAGCATGGCGATGTTGGACCACAAAGTGATTTTGGATTTGTTTCTACCGCTGATTGGTGGTTGGTCCCAATAGCATTTAGTTCACGGTAATCCAGCTTTAATATCGCAGCTCATCCTCTCCTTCCCCACTCTAGCTCTAGCTCCCATGGGCGTGCTATGCATAATTTGTAAAGAATTAATATATAATCCAGGTTTATAAAGCTGCTCATCCATGAAACAGCATACCTCCACAACCAAAAGAGTTACAGGCATTTGCACCAATATCCAATCAAGTTCCTAATATGCAATCCCCAAATCGCCGCATAAAGCCATATCTAGAAAACAAACAAGGCAACCTTTATGAACAAGGGATGATAATTCGGCAACCTTGGTGTGCGTTTTCTCAGCAATCCCCCATCCACTTTGGAACAATAAGTGGAAAAAGTGCATGAAACAGTGAAAAGGAGAAAATAAGAGCAACAAAGAAATTGTAGCAAGACAACTCCGAGTCTTACCTGGACAGTTCTACATACTGTGTATACCATTATGGAGAGTAGAGGGATACAATCCATGACTAGCCATGAAAAAAAACTAGGGTGCCATCAAACAATTGCATGTTACAAAAGCTGTCATCTCTAACGAGAGAAAACTCCATCAAATGCCTTTCCATTAAAAAAAAAAATCTTTTTCTTTTCCTTGTGTACCATAATTTTACCACCAGCAACAAGGCCCATATAGGAGAAACAGTCAGTTCCATCAATTTGTCTTTTCAGTAGGTTTCTATTCTTGGGAATGATTTGTACTTCAAAGGAATCCAGTAATGATCATTGCGGCCTGTGATGGTAAAATCTTAGGCTAACAAACGTGAGAATGCAGCATCAAGTATGGATGTGACCGCTATGTGCTGAAATGTCAGAATTTAGGTCCATATCCAGTTCACCCCTCCCAAGGGCCAAGAGCCCAAGATGCATTGGACAATGGCTTTACATTAAAACTGATTATAATTGACAAATCACAAATTACTATTTTCTGGTTTTTATTGGCTATAAGTACCAGGGGGGGATCTTGAGCAAAGGTAAGGATTCTTGATAGCTCTATTGGAATCAGCCAGGGGATATTCAAAGCATATATATCCTTTTGGCAGGCTGCTTTCATTTTTGTTTCCATCCATTTCTTTGTTTTGTAATTATTACAAATTAACTAATAAATTACACAAGATCCATGTGTTAAAATCATAAGAGGTTGATACACTGGCTATGTACATAAGACACCCCAGTCTATAAAATGAGGTCATGCCAACTCGCCAAGCAACATGTCATATTATCCTGCTAACATCTATACATTAGACCAGAGTCAAATCATCATCTATCTCTTGTTTCTGTCTATCAACGGCATACCAGTGATATGCTTTACAATGTACTTGGCATACCTTACCCCGATGCAAACATAAAAAGCATATACAAAGATACAACTGAAGTAGATGGATAAACACAAAATCTTGCAATTATTTCAAATGTTAGAACAATTGCACATCCTAAAAGAAGGTCGTCAAGGACTCAAAAGATAATAAAGGTCAACATAGGACTTCACAAAATAAGGTTTTGAGTCTTTTGACTGAAGATCAGAAATCACTGGAAAACAATGCAATTGGACTCTGAATATGAGTACCCTTACTGATGCATGTACATGCATTTCATTAGTAGCCAAAAAAATCAAAACGCAACAGTCTAAGGATGCATTAAATCTGGCAAAATAATGAGAAAAATAAAAACAAGCACATATCATTAAGTGTGAAAACCATAGAGAAAAGATCTAGCTGGTGGTTGGTGTAGAATGGTTGTTTGAAAGCTCATTTGAAAGCTAATACAACCAAAACACCACAAGGGAAGGAACAATTGTGCGAGCAATATGTATTACTGGAAGGCAAATGATGGATATATACAAAGACTTCTCTCAATACAACAAATAATTGAAAACTACCTATGTTGCACAGAAGTTCACAAAAAGGGGAGGGAGGCCGATATAGGAACCAAAAATGCAAAGTCAAAACCAAAAACTAGGCAACAAAAAGAGGAAATCAAGAACTCTTAGGGTCTTTTTTTATTGAAGGATAAAAAGAAATTTCATTAAACTGAAAAAAAGCAGTACATCTCAAAATGCTGGTTGACTAGTTGGCAAACCAACTTCTAATCAGAAGTTACACAAACTCTTACAAGGGTCTACATGGAAGGTTCTGCAAATAATAACAACCCATGGAACAAGACATCTTAACAGACAACAGGAATGTACTGAAAGAAAGCAATGCTTCCACCTAAGCAGAGAAATGCAAACTCTTATAAAAGAATGTAGTTAACAACAAGAAAAAAAAATTATAATGTATGTTAAAACGACCATGTGGAAACAGAAATACATACCTTGACAAAGAGCGTGGTCTTGACCCTGAATGGGAGCGAGAAGAAACAGACCTTGATCGAGATCTAGACAAAGAACGACGAGAAGACTTGGCCTTTGGGGATTTACTGCATAAGAATTAACTTAGTTTAGTTAAGAATCATATAATCAACATTCATAACTGAATTGCAAAATGACCAAAAACAAACCACTGAAACAAACCTTTGGCTCCGGCTTCTGCTATAACTGCGACTGCGACTAGGGCTTTTACTTTTAGTTCTTGAGTGGGACCGGCTACGACTATGGCTCCTAGATAAGCTCCGCCTTGAGTCGTACTCCTTCACCTAAAGTAGGCAAATACAAGCGTAAAAGCCGTGCAAAGAACAAAAGAAAGGGTTCAGAGTGACAAGTTATTAAATTATAATAATCATCATCATCATCATCCAAGTTACATGAATGCTGTTTTGTCATTCCGTTCCATTTCATGCCATATCCATCATAAAACTATTGACAAGTTATTAAATCATACTCGTATATATGCACGGGAAAATGCATTCCGAAACTCAGAGTCATCTAGCTTCCTAATCTGCAGATAAAGAAAAGGTATAATATCATTTTTATTGTAAAAAAAGTAAAATACTGTCAATAGAAAGAAATCAGATATTTAGAACAGAAAGTAATAATAATTAAAATTAAAAAAAAAATAAAAATAAAAAGCAGTAAAAGAGTAAAAGATTTAACTCACAGCATATTTCATGTCTTCATAGTTTGTGTAATCCACAATCCCAGTCGTACCTACAGAAAAATCAAAACAAAAAACATATACTTCAAAACCACCAAACAAGAAAACAAATGAATAAAAGAAGAATATGGGAAAATAGATAAATTGGTTTCATTTCTCCAAATCGTTAATACTTATGCCTAAAACAACCTCTAAATTCAGATATTATGCAGCTTAGCAACAACTATGATTATATCCTTTTTTTGATTAACAGCTATTTATATTAATTGGAAAATAACGATTACTTAAATAGACGTTTAAGACATAAATAGAAGTGAAGCATCCCTTTGGTAAGGTAGCTGAGGAGGAGACCTACATCACTTTATTTGCTTCACACTTAAAGTTACATGACCATTCCACTTAAAGTATATGGTGTGTGTTGTGAATCTTTTTGTAGGAAGCTTAAATTTCTCAAAAACAATATTAAACAATGGTGCAAGGAAGATGTGGGGTGCATTCTTGGGAGGAATAAGATCACATGAGCTCAAACCAAAGGCTTGGACTTAAAAGAGGAATCCAATTCACTATCAGCTGAAGAGAGGCAGCAAAGGGAGGTAGCCAGGGATGAATTGGAAGACTATGGCCAAAATATTGTAGATGCAGAAGTCTAGAATCTTATGGCTCAAAGCTGGTGATAAAAACAATAGATTTTTCACAAGGGTTTTTTTATAGGAAACGGTAACTTTTCATTAAGATTTTTCACAAGTCTGCCTGGCCAGATCCAGTCCTACCTCAGTCATTGCATCCCAAGTTCTCAACTACACCCAATCATAGCCTTCTGGAACATATCGGTGCCATTTGGCAAATCTTTTTAAAGATCTTCCGGCAGACCTAACAGCCAAAAGTCGATGTGAGATTTTGCACTAGGATCTTAGCAGCTTGAACACCGTTTGGTTAAGGCGTGTCTTCCCGCGCGAAGTCGTGATGAATAAGGCAAAAAGCTCCATTTGGAGCTTCCCAAAAATAGCCCAAAACAGGCTTCATGCGTCATTTCAGGAAGACATCTTTTGGTGGATAGATCTTTTCCCAACCAAACAGGAAAAGACCAAAATGCAGGCTGCCGGGCTTCTAAACAGCCGACAACCCACATGGAAAGGCGCGCCAAACAGAGGCATTGTTTGTTGACTGTCCATCATTGTAGCAATGCCGAATTAATAATTGTCTAATAGACTTCAGTCAACCTGTTCTCCAATTTGATAGCACTATTGATCCACCTCCCCAGTAGCACAAAACAACGTTATGAAAATCATAACCATATTATAAATAATAGATAAAGTTGAATCARATCAAATCATGWATCATATCRTASACAATAAGATTATTTATATTTTTTACAAAATTGTCAAAAAATTAAATATATACATAATCAAAGGCTTAGATGATGATGACAACGACGATGACGGTAACAATATATATATATATATATATATAAAAGTATACCTTTTTTGAGAAAAAGTAACTATTCATTCAAAGGGAGGCAATTTTGCCCTATTTTTAATCCATGTCTACTATATATGTAGTTATGTACCTAATACAATATAATTTACCACTTGTACAATAAAAGACTAAGGTGATACAATTAAGTCTGACTTAAAAGGAAAATAATCCATTTACAATGGCTCCTTAAATTACATATGATGGAAAATAAACTTAATGCAAATAAACCAGTTTCTGGCAAGGGCCTTAAAACAAGTCTCCCTTGAAAAAACTAAAAAAAAAAAAGACAAAGTACAGAACTAACACCTAATTGAATTTACTTGAATCACAGGAATCATAAAAAATGTAAGATTTACGAATCAAATCGTATGATGGAAAATAAACTTAATGCAAATAAACCAGTTTCTGGCTAGGGCATTAAAACAAGTCTCCCTTGAAAAAACTAAAAAAAAAAAGACAAAGTACAGAACTAACACCTAATTGAATTTACTTGAATCACAGGAATCATATAAAATGTAAGATTTATGAATCAAATCGTAGGATTCAAAAAAAAAAAAGTCCAAAGATTTTTGCAGAAAAGGTTTATATACAAGATTCAAATCAAAACCCCTCAGGATTTATGATTCAAATTGTGCAGTTTTGACAACATTAGCATGACACCCTAGAATGGAGTGCAATATTATCATTCTAGCAATCAAAAATTCAAGCAGAAATTCCACAACTAACATCAGTTATTGCAAAGTCATAATAAATACAACTTGTTTATCTCGGAAATGCACTGATTATGAACTTCAGCTAGAGAGCACTTCCAAGTTCACAACAAAAAAGGAAAGGCAAATAAGAAGTCAAATTAGAGGTGCAACTCGGACAAGCTCAGGTTGAAGATATGTCAAATTTTGAAAGGTCCCAACCCAAGGGCCTAGGCCCAATGCTGTGTAAACTGTTCAAATCAAGTACCCCACTTTTTTTAATTCTTCAAATCAAATGCCCCCATATTTCTGAAAAAAAACAAAGGAGTCAGAAAGGTCTCCAAGTTGTAGGCAATAAACCCTTTGGTTCAAGTCTCTCTCACAACAAGTATACATACAGAGATAGAATCTTTTTTTTTTTTACTTTACAAGTACCTTATCCTTTTCGATAAGCAAACAGATGCACATTAAACAAATTGAAAGTAACAAGAGAGGAGAAAACAGTCCCCCTGCAAAATTTAAATCACAACTTGCAATCTTTAACAACCACTTGCAGCTTAAATGTCGGATTAAATTTTAGCCAGTTATGAAAAAACAAAAACTGAAGAAGAAAATAAGAGAGGAAGAACCGTTTACAGAGAAAACAAATGAAACATGAATGGAATTATATAATATGTATTTATTCAGTATTCATAAAATGCAAGCCAAACAGTTTTCATTAAGAAAAAAAAATGCATGCCAGACACCACCATAAAGGCATAAACAATAAGGTAAAAAATGAAGATAAAATACATTCACCACATACACAAAGAAATATCACAAAGTTATGAAAAGAAATTACTTATCAAAAAAAAGGTATAAAAAGAAATCTCATCAACCAAAACTTATGAGAATGCACAGCCCCCAAACAGTCAGACAAGGAAATCTTTATCATCATCATTTTAAGTATTCTCCAAAGCCCAAGATTATCCAGAGTAATAAGCAACCATGATCTAGGGTCATGATACCATTGATCCATATTTTACAAAATCCCTGCCTCAATGAACATGAATTCTAACCAACCCATCTGCCTTTACAGCCAGCATCCCAGTCAAGTAAATTCATCAATGATCATCATCCATGAACATGCAAAAAAAAAATATAAAAAAACTACACTTCGTCTGGTCATAATTAAGTTTTCTCTGATAGATTAACCATTAATTATATCTTTCCAAGACTTGCCACCACCAGATCCCTAATCATCTCCCCTCCATGTACTATTATCTAATTGTCCAGTTCTTTGCTCCAAAATGGACAAAGAGGCATATTGCAATCTTATAATATATTTCATGTAATGTTTTAATGTCTTTGGGTTGGTCAGAAAATACTGCAAAGAAACATCAGCCACCCATCTCAAATCCTATGTGAATTTTTTCATAACCTTTTCTGCATCAATATACAACAAGAGTGGAGAGACCAAAAATGAGCCAAATAACAAATACAAATACAACCACCAACTCCTATGGTAATGTTTGATAACTTCTGAAATGGGGTATAAAAGAGGAATACAGAAAAGTTTCCAATTTAGAATGTCTCATTCAGCATTTCACCAACTCAAGACTTAATTTCCAAATGATGAAGTACAGGCATTAGGGTGATTAATTTACCCCTAATAATTTTATCATATACCAAAAAGATTACAGGATTTATCCATTTAGGCCATTTTTATGTTTGGAATCTTCTCTACATTCTGCTTTCAGCACCACCTAAATAAAAAACTGAAGCTCAATGTAACCTACCACCACCATCACGGAACACTTGAGAGAAGCAAACGTCCCCAGCTCGACGCATGTGATCCTGCATACAAAATACTTGTAATGAGAGAGGGAGAGAGACAGAGACCAGTACATAGAAAAAAGATGTCTATGAAACAAGGTATACAAGGTATCATGGTTACCTTTAAGTCTTGCCATGAAGCAGAAGAAGGTAAACCTGTGACTAACACTGCACGAGAGAGAAATTAAGAGCAGTTTGATAAAAGAAATACAACCAGCCTATAGATGAATATCAGAGTTATGATGGTTGGGACACACACCACGGTATTCAGAACGCCTAGAGACTCCTCCACGGCTGCCACCGCTGCCATGACTACTACGACGATCTATTGTTGAAGAATGGCCACGCCCACCATGTGCCAGTTCTACCTATATTGATATAAAACAATAGATGAAATGGGTAAGAAATGAAGAAGTATTAACTAATAAATGAGCACAGGTGAAACCAGAAAATTACAAACTATACTAACCCTTAACCGATGCCCATCAAAGTTATACCCGTCACGACTACGAATGGCATCTTCAGCATCTCGAGAATCTTCAAACTAATAACAAATATGAGGTCAGGGAAAACCAATATAAAATGGGCAACAGGATGATTTCACACTTAAAAATGGATTTAAAAAAAAAAACTAAATAGAATATCATAATACCTCAACAAAGGCATAACCTGGTGGCCTTGGCGGGATCTTCAAGTCAATATCAACAATAGGCCCATACTGTGACATGAAGCCAATGACAACCACAAAACRAAAAGATTAASATTCAGCAAATAAGGCACATTAAAGTGCCATGACCACRTTAAAATAAAACTTCTATCCATCAGACAATACACCTTGTACATGAACAAATTAACATGATGTTATTCTAGCACTTGTAGGTTGGATAAGTATTAGRTGCAGAAAAYGGTCWTYTGCAATMAAGAGATTCTTCCAGCACATAGATTMTGGCTTTAGTTAAGGRCCTTGGACTGATAAATTCTATGGGTTTTAACCACATTGATGTGAAAAATTATTCTTGGGACTCAGGTTAGTATTGGATGAACWGGCATCGGATCTGACAGTCCTKKGRTTTTGCATCATCACACTGGGGATATCTCATTTAGATGCATGCATCCCTACATCTCTACACCATTCAATACAAGATGGCCTTTTCATTGGAAGGTTAAGAGGAATGGTCCTTTTTT